CCATATCGATGGAATGAATGATTATAAGTGGGCGAAGCTCTAGAGGAAGAGATCATCGGCAAACCGCAACTCTCCCGTGAAAAGTACATCATCAGAAAGACGTAATGCAGTGCGTATATTATACAAATCAAACTTTATTTTGTCCTTGATCATTTGTTATTTCGTTTCTTCGTTTGTTCTTTTCATTTCTTCGTTGTCATGGCGGATGGATTGCGAGGTCACTTCAATATTACGGCTTTATGGTCCGTGTAATGGAGCTGAAAGGTTCTTGTACTGGCTGCAGTGAGAAGTTTGCAAACACCAAGTCTATGCACCTCCCTCGGATCGTGGTAGGTTGCATATATGGATGAATCGGAATGAGTATTCGGGAAGCATGTGCTGCACAATGCAGTCATTGGCAATGAGGTATTTCCGTTCATGCGTCCGTCCGTCTGTCTGTCCGTCCATCGGTCCGTCCATTCATATGTCTGTCTGTCTTTCTGTCTGTATGCATGTCTGACTCTCTGTTTGTTCATCCTTCCGTCGGTCTCTCTGTCTGTCCGTCTGCCTGTCACTCATACTGGCGCCACCTGCTGAGTGATTCATACAACTAGGTGGTTACGAACCGGTCACGAAAAAACATGCGTGGACAGAGCCATGACTTTAGGGTCTTCGGCCCTAAAATATTCTGACGTGCTACATACAGCTAAGAACAATACTGCGTTATGTTAAGACGCGTAGCACTCGTTCCTAATTATTTATTTATTTATTTATTTACTTATTTATTTATTTATTTATTTCATATATTACATTGTGCTTGGTGCCTCTATGGGCCGAGCCCAGAACCAGCTAGGCTACGGGCTTCTTTGTTTCTTTATTGTCTATATATCTTAAACTACGCTACAGGCGCATTTGTGAAGTGTACATCAGACGTGAACTTTATAACTTCCACTCCTTCCCTCTGTACCTGCACTCTTGGTTTGTCGGGGTGGTGCTACCACCTACGAGCAGAGAAGTACTGCGTTATGAAGCTAACCAGCCGCGACAGAGAACGCTTAGGTAGTATCAGAACTACAATACAGCGCCTCGATGCCAGCGTTCGAGCAGACGCTTGCATGAGGGTGCCCTACCACCGCAGATAGGTAGCGTTGGGTCTGTATATACTGGGCACAGTGGAGCGTGGCTTCCTCTCCAAGTTCCGACAACGTTACTGACTTCACGCTTATGAGTTCAGTGCGGCTAGGGACACGCCGTGGGGAAGCAGAATGTCTTCATGCGTTCGCGGCTCAAACTTAGAACTCTGCATCTAGCGTTTCTTAAGTGGAGCCCATCGCGACATAAGTGACTGGCATACACACACAAAGATGGTCGTACCTTCTCACACCAGTGCGACTTCGCTCGCTAATCTGACGCTGCATGCGCAGCGCATCCACAGGACGGTCGCCGACCCGTAAATTGTGCACCCTTCTCTGAAGCGGGCCGTGATAGCACGAAACGATTCGGTAAAAACCCGTTTGGTTTCGCTTGCACAATTTGATAACCCCTGTAGTTCCTGTAGGGTTTGCGCGATTCTCGGGCGTGTGCTGTGCGGTGTCTCCTGTAAATGTCTCGCGCTCGCGAGTCATTGCTTTTTGTGACGGAGATGTGTCACCTGGAATTAACATGCTTACGTCTACATGTATGGGTACTGTATTCACTAAATACCAGTATACATTATGCATAAACATACAATCAACATTCAACCACTTCTCTGAAGACACGTTTCACTTTCATGTGTTATACCGATTGTGATATCTGAGGGGTCAACTACATTTTTTGTTTTCTGTTTCGTTCTATCATCCGTCATTGTTCTGAACAATATTTTTCCATTGTGCACTAATTAGAGCATATGCACTTAATTTCGGAAAACACCTCAGCCATGTTAAAAGGAAACCAATGTCCGTGTATGTGGAAATGGCTTCTTTAAACTCTCCTACAATGTAGGCCTATTGCAAGAGCAGTTGCAAAGTGCCTATTTGCAACATTTGTTTTCTTCATTTTACGAATTGCCGAAGTCCTACCTACGGGTCTGTAAGGCAACACGAGCACCAACGCACGTTTTGTTCATGCTGTTGGTGAAGGGGATGATGAATTATGCCTGCGCACTTTGCGACAAATCGGTCTTTACTCCTCGCACTGCTGGAATCCTGTATAGGATTTTTTCTTTCTTTTTTACGGCTAAAGTTGTGAGATTACAACAAGAGCTGTTTTGGGTGCTGTAGCTGTCCACCACCGCCACCGCTGGTATCCGTAACCACTATCGCACGGAATAAAAAAAACAAAAAATTAAAATATGTATGCGGCACTTAACGGGATTCCGAGCCTGGTCCTCTGTGTGATAGCCGAGTATTCTGCCGGAGCGACGATGATGCTTAAAGCTTTTTTTGGAACACACCCTATTCGGTGTACGCGACGTCGCATAAATAGCTTTGACAGTTGTAATATATCACAACAAGATACAAAATTTTACTGCTTGGTACAAATGCATCTTTGAAGCAGCGCTAAAAGACGTAGACTAAGCAGGTAGAGGCACACAGGACGAGCGGATGCTCTCAACTGTAAAAAATGTTTAAAAATAACATCCAAGAAAACGAGGAAAACTAAGACAGACGAGGAAAACGCGCCTTGTATGTGCAAAGTTGCCAGCCAGATTCCTCTTGCTTGCCGGAATTCATAAGTGGCGCAAACCAGAAGATCTTCGAATGTGCGTATCGAGGAGCGTAACCAGTTTGCTGAAGAAATCGGATCCTTCTCATCTCGCCTCGCAATGCTGCACGCGTGCACGTGTGGGTTTTCACTCATGTTTGCAGGTACGAAGGTCTTGTCATCACACAAATGCACGGTTGCTCGAGAGGTGACATAAGCTTTTCATATGAAAAGAACGGGCGACACGTTTTTCAATTAATCATCATGGTAACCAACGGAAAAAAGAGCTTGCTTCTCTACTTAGCACGTGTTTTATGAAGTAATACTTATAGTATTGACATGTTTATTTCAAATAAATAATATTAGTTGTGAGTCAGTGCTAGTGCCTCGCCGCGGTGGTCTAGTGGCTAAGGTACTCGGCTGCTGACCCGCAGGTCGCGGGTTCACATCCCGGCTGCGGCGGCTGCATTTCCGATGGAGGCGGAAATGTCGTAGGCCCGTGTGCTCAGATTTGGGTGCACGTTAAAGAACCCCAGGTGGTCAAAATTTCCGGAGTCCTCCACTACGGCGTCTCTCATAATCATATGGTGGTTTTGGGACGTTAAACCCCACAAATCAATCAATCAATCAGTGCTAGTCACGTAAGTTTGTCCCTTCCTAATCTATATGTCTTCTAGCACTGCTTCAAGAATGCGAAGGTGTAATTTAGCCTTGTAGAAGAGTCAAACAACGACCATGCGTCACACAATGCGAATTGCGTAACTCGCATGTTGTTTAAAGCATCCAAACCATTACAAAGGGCTCAGCCACAACTCTTCGTCATCAACCACCACCTCAACGAAGCGCGCGCCACGCCTGTGTCGCTGGTACATTGCTTCTCCTCTGCAGAACAAGTAACGGCGTGTTCGGTGCGTCTCGACTTCACAAAATCTACGTTGATTTTAGGCGTAATGGGTGCCACGTGTTTGTATTTCCAGCAGTTGCCCCCAAGAGAATTCACAAAGGCTCCGGAAAGGCCGCTCCCCCCGCTTTCACTGTGACTAGCAGCGCGCTTCGCACGGGCCCCGTATTTTAAGGTGCGAAGCACTTTACGGGCTCGGTTTTTCGGCGTCTTTTGTGGTCACTGTGGGTTATGTAGTCACGGTCCACCATAAAAAACGAGTATGTGTCACAATGGAGACATCACGCAACTCTCAAACGGGCCGATAGATTATAGGAAGACAGCAGTTAGCCCAAAGCATAGTGTAGCTGTAACACCCTTTATCACACGCCGTATGGAACTGAAGCCGGGCATGTAGAGATAAAGGAGAAGAACAGCAAGAACAAAGAGAAGCACCTTTGGGTGAGCTTCACTGTGCCGCCGTCTTCAGACCTTGTTATTGGGGTGGAAACACCCTTCCCTACGTGCGCGGTTTCAGGGTGTGCACATCTAGTGCGTCATGAGAGAAATCTCTCTCGAAACACGGCGTACTTCACCTCCAACCCGTTTTTTTTTTCGGAGTGGTGAGAATTGTTGATGCCTTAAGCCGAGATTGAAAATGACCATCAGCGTCCACACGAGTGACCCAAAAAAATTTCATGTGATGACGTCACCCAGCGACGTCTTTGTGACGTCAAAGATCAGCGAAAACTTTTTAACTTATCACACGTCCTGCTCATACCACCCAACGGGACATCACGTGATGGCGTCATCACAAGACATCCTTGCTTGTTCATAGTTTGGCCGACCCCGGAGGCGTCTTTAGTTGGGAGCAAAATAGAGCGTTGTCCGTGAGGAAAAATTCGCGGCGGATGCAAATAAAAAAAATAAAAAAAACATTCATTTTAAGTGAGCGTTCGAAATAATGACCCCTCGCGCCGTAGTGCGATGTGTTTAGCCGCTCAGCCACTATGCATGCAGCCTATAACTTATTATCAGCGAGCTATGCATATATATGATTTGGCGTTGGTGGTGGCACGCTCATCTCGAACGTTCTTCAGCGGCTGGTCAGGTGACCGGCAAGGTTGCTTCACCTCACGGGGGAACTTTCCGTGTTCTGTCACGCCACATGCATGGACATAGAAACCGGCGTGCGTCTGCACTCAGGTTTTTGTCGAAGCACGGTTTAGGTGTCTACCGAGAAGCGAAGCCAGGCAAGCGAATGGGGAGGCGATACGAAGACTGTCCGATTAAGCTGTCGCGTTTTCCTATTAGAAGCGAAGCTCAAGCGCCCTTCATATTTTCCAGATTTCTCGCTCACAGTCAATGCCAACGACGCCGAAAGCGCATCTACGGCGACATGGACATCTAACGGAACGGTGTCAAAGTGGGTCACTTCAAGCTCTTCTCGACGTACCTGGACGAATTCCCGGAGCTTCGTCGCTACTTTGGTTAGGCTCATCTTGAAGTGCCATTCCCGTGCGTCGTCGTCTTGCCCGTCTAGAACCGGGAGGGAAGCCGCCATTGACACCGCCAGCAGTGGCAACAGCAGCGGCCACATCGTGATCCTCGTGATGTCCTGGGAAAAGACACGGAGTAACATTTTTCTTTTCAGAAAGCGTAGTTCTCAGGACACCTATTTATTGTGGAATGGTTGTTAACTGAGGAACAAAATCACAGAGGGTAAATGTTATAAAAATCATTTCGTTTCCACATATCCAAACACTGGTATGATTTCGAGGGATGCCGTGGCTGTGAGATCCGTAAATTTTCACCACATGTGCTTTCTTTTTTTTTAACGTGCACCTAAATCTGGTCACATCGGTCTCTAACATTTCGTGTTTATATAAATTCTCCCAGAGCGGCCGGAATCCGATTACCTGACCTACGCGTTAGCATTCAAGCACGAAGTTGACTAGACCGCTGCGGTCGTTGAAGGGGCCGTAACTGAGCCACTAGATCAGTTAGCGAATGTCGAACTTATAGTAATAAACTAAACTAAAATTGAACCTCTGTGACTAAAATATAAACACTCGCTGTACAACGACAGCGGTGAGCAGGACCATTCGTTGTCGAGGGTCTGATCCGCTGATCGAATGGGTCGGCTATTTTGTACATGAGTGAGGGTACAGTCGGTACGATCGCTAGTGGTCGCGTGCAGTCCACAGCAGACCATCTCGTTTAGCTCGTCCTGCGTGCAATGTGATTAAAGGAACCGATAACATTCTAAAATGATTTGTTACAATCTGCCGAACACTTACGGCGTTAACAATATTAAGAAAAATTTCTGTATGAACTATGGAGCTCTATTTTATAGCGTAAGAGTGCACAGGATTCTCTGCATTAGAGGCAGGTGGGGTATGAAGTATACTGCAGCAGCCGTTCCTTTTTGATGCCTTAATGAACCGAACACACTAATAACGCAAAGAGTTACGATTGTAGTGAAGAAGGGCCGCAATGCTTTTGTCTGCCCCCCCCCCCCCCGGGGCACGCCTATGTTGGGTCAGATATACCGTCAGAGAATGAGTTTAAGTAAAATATTATTTATGTATTTATTTATTTATTTATTTATTTATTTATTTATATATGTATGCTAAACTGTGGACTCAACTTCTAATAAAGTTGCCAATAAGTACGAAAGTAAAATAGCGAACAGCAAACGAATTTCGGCAGATGCACACTGGTGGAGCGAACACTGATGAAGCGGTGGATCTCAGGGCGGTGTCCCACCTCCTCCCGCTGCCCTCGCTGCGTGCCGTAGTGTGCAAGACCGCTACTCTTCTACTTGACGACTCCTTTTTCTCTCCTCCTCCCTTTTACGAACCGCCTTTACAATTTCTCCACCATCACAAACATTTCATTTTTATTTATTTATTTTATTTAATTTGGCAATACTGTCAGTTCTCAAGCGAGAGTCCTCACAAAGACGGTAACATAATAAAATAATAAAGTAAGAACAACATCTTTGCAAATTCAGAAATACAGGTTAGATAAAGATCAAACGCTACACCTGTAGAGATAGTCCTCCAAGGTCTGCTCAAATTTCGACAAATCGTTCTCGTCAACAACATTCGCCGGCAATTCATTCCAAATTTCAATTTGTGTTATGAAAAGGGGAGTATTTGAAGCTATCCGTACTAGTCCAATACGCTTGAATGGCCCTGTTGTGGTTTCTTTTTAGGCTCTCTTCCCCTGACGGCAGTAAGTAGACTTCTTTTATAATATTTATTACGCAATTTAGAATTTGAAATAATACTTTCAAACAATTTTCTGCCTGCGCGTTTCTAACAAATGGAGGCCAGAAGAATGGAGCATTTCTGTAACAGATTCCGTCCTTTGGTACTGGGAGCATATAAATCGCACTACGTCCCTTTTAATTTTTTTCTGTTTGTTTCTTTAAATAATATTGATGAGGGCCCCATACCACCGACGCGCACTCAAGAACTGGCCTTATAAAGTTTTATAAGCAGCAAGTTTCGAATCGGCTGTTGCACCTTCTAGTTTGTTTTTTTGTTTTCGTAGGAAACATAGCTTCCCATATGCCTTTGAACAAACATGTGTATGTTCCAAGACAAAATTTTCGTTATCGTTAATCCTAGATATTTAAACTGAGTAGTATTTATAAACACTTGTCTCCGATGGCATATGAAAATGAAAAACAGCTATTTTTTGTTGTAATATTTGTGTATGTCGATTTATAATAATAATTTTCATATTCCAATTTTTTACACAATTTGTTCAACGCCTGTAAAGATCTGTTATTCTTAACTGATCCTCTTTGTTTTTTACAGTAGAATAAAATAAACAGTCATCTGCGAACTGTTCAAGTTGAACACCTGGCTTCATAATACCAGAAATATCATTATATACACCAAAAACAAGAGTGGTCCCAGTACAGATCCCTGCAGGACTGCCGAGAGCACTGACAGTGAATCAGAGACATGTACATTCCTTATTACGTGCTGCTTGAGACTAGTCAAGTATGCCGTAATCCACTTTATAACAGTGGCATTAAGCCCGACTGTTTGCAGCTTGTAAAGTAGTTTGTTATGTGGCACCTTATCGAAGGTTTTGGCAAAATGTATGGCTATTACACGAATCTGTTTCCTGGTATCAATTGCCCTGGAAAAACCGTGAATCGTCTGTATTAGTTGTGTGATAGCGGAAAGGCCCGTTCTGAAACCATGCTGGTGGGGTTAAAGTAAAGAGTCACTTTCTAAGTAACTAATGATATGCTTAGCTATTATGTGTTCTAAAAGTTTACAAGAGATGAATGTTAGAGATATAGGCCGGTTATTATTCACCGTCGTTCAGATCCCTCCCTTAAACACTAGAATGACTACCGCACTGCGCCAGTCTTGTGGCACAGAATGTGTTTTCATTGATTTTTAAATATAAGAGTTAGCTAATGAGATACACATTCAGCATATCTTTGAAGAAACTGGATCGAAATCTCATCTCACTTTTTTGCTTTCTTCGAATCTAAATCTAATAGCAGTGGAAAATCGCCCTCCTAGGTGATTTCGACGTCATTCATTTGGCTACGAGTGGCACATTCCGAACTTATGTCGACGTCAGTATTGTTCGCGGGGAGTACGGACGAAAGAAGTGATTGAAATGATCCACAATATCTTTTTATTGTTTATCGGTAGTTCATTATCTTCTCTTATTTCTTGTACCTCTTCCTTTCTCTCACCGAAGTATCGCCAAAACCTTTGCGGTGACGTTCTAAAAAAGCGGTTAAGCCTGTCACCAAAGAACATTTTTTAGAACTATTCAGTGCTTGCTTGAAAAAGGGGCCGAACGTCAAGGTAACTGGTAGGGAGCAGTTTGACGAGAAGCAGTCACGGCAGTGGTGCCAGAGTCATGCCGAGATGAATTGTTAGCGCACGAGAACCCTTGTGGTGGTAACTGCTCAGGAAAGAAAGTGAGAAAGCGTGTGGGGAAAGTACTTTTGTTCTATATACATTAATTTGACGATCAAGATTTCATCCGGTGAAAGTGGCACTGGGAGCACTTCTACGCGTCCTATTTTTTCTTACGAGATTTCTCGGGTTGATCATCCTTCCGCAGCTATCTTGGATTGCACGGTGTGCCACCTATAGGTTGTGGGCATTGCGAATAGCCAAAGGTCGATTCATCGAGGGCCAAAAATGGCGTTTTTAAAAGGTTTCGTAATTGAAAGAAAGCGCTGGAAAGGTTCCGATTACATGAGAAAAGTGACTTCCACCGAAGGTCAACAGAAATAGTTATCGAGCACTAACAAAACAATCCCGCCATTTCGCAATTGGTTGAGCATACAACATCACAGCAGAAAAAAGCCCTGACAGCTCTATCAGTAGTCGTGAGTTTTTTAAGGTATCTGGCTCACACAGGTCGCATACGTGGTCACGATGCGGATGATGGCAACCTTATTTCGTTGCTAGAAAAAAGAGCAAATGATGTTCCTGAGCTAAGATCATGGCTGAAGCTTCGAGACAATTGGTTAGCTCCATCCGTGCAGAATGAAATATTAGAGTAACAAGCACATATTGTACAACAAGGCATTGTTAAATAAATCTAAACATCCACGTTTTTTTTTTCAATCATTGCTGATGCAACTACTGACATCGCAGGAACTGGACAATTTCCTTTAAGTGTTCGTACAGCGAAACCAGAATCGTTGTCTGTGGAGGAGTTTTTCATCGATGTGTACAGGCCACCAGACTCTACAGCAGGAACGCTGGCTGCTTATATTAAAGATGTATTGCTCAGTCTGACACTTACCATGTAAGATCTTCGTGGGCACGGTTTTCATGGTGTGGCCAACATGTCTGGCTGCATGCATCATGTGCAGGAAATACTGTGCAATGAACAACCTAAAAGCACCTACATTCACTGCAGTAACCATGCTTTGGATCTCGCTTTCCAGGAAGTGTATCGAAAATGTGACGCAATGAGTGAGGTGCAGTCGATCGTGAAGGATGTGTCAAATGTTATCTTAGAGTCAGCCAAGAGGAAAGGCATATATATGGATATCGTGCTCGAGCTTTGTAATGGGGGATCGAACCAGAAGGTTAAGCGCTTGCTACCACTCTGTACGACTCGCTGGGCAGTCAAGGTAAAGTTGTTGTAGTGTTTCTAGGAAAATTATGAGCGTGTGTATATGACCTTGGAAGAGATTCTAGAAACAACAGGTGCTGTCGCCGACAGCAGGCGAGTGGCTATGATTGATTTTTCTAAGCGCATGAAAAATTTAGGCACACTGTTCTTTCTTTACAATGCGATCAAAATGTTTGGACCGTGTGAGCTGCTGGCAAAGGCTTTACAAAGCCCTCAGTACAGTGCAGGAGGTGCCAAAAAGGATGCACAAATTTTGGAGAAGACCCTGTTAGACCTCCGTACGCAGGGCTCTTTCGATAGTATATTCAAAGAGACCGAATGGCGCGTACAGAGAATGCATACTGAAATGTCGAGCCGGCACCAAGAATGAAGAAACCGCCTCGCCGGTTTGAGGCAACTGGCAAAGCCGCATCTCTGGCCAAGCTTACGTCTGACGAAAAACGTCGGCGCGATTTTTACGCAATATTAGACCGGTTA